GATTAAAGGTAGTAATGCAGCGTACTTGGAACACCGAGGTATCTAAAAAAAAATACTAACTTCTTGTCTGACTTGTAACATCGGAAATAATAGGGGCATGTTGATCGATAGCATTTGTGGACGAACCATAATTTCAACGTTTCAATTCAATTTATAGACAATTATCTGTAGAAAGTTTTTTCAACAAGTATTCAATTATGGTTAAAGTGTGTCAAACTTGGTGCGTTAATTCCTCAGTTTCGCGTAATTTGCGATTGTTCCGAGGAACCAAAATGCGACACGAAATTTTGGGTTATAATGTCACGTTGCTAATTTGGAATATCGAAGACGAATGCAATTTGAAATAATTTCATGATGTAGTGATACTTTTGTTAACGTCGCATCTCTTCTAACTGAAAGTCTCTAAGAATCCCCGTGTTTTAATATTTCTGCTGTTCCAAACACAGAAAAGGGAGAAACGTTCAATGGACGATATCGAAAAATCGGCAATAATTTCGAATCTCTCTTACAGAAACGAGCTATCACTACCAATAATATTCACTTTTAACGAAGATAAGATACTTAGTCATAAGAGAGAATAATTTTATCATTTGCTTTTTTTTAATTTTACCAAGTGAAGATAAATTGGTATACTACTATAACAAAAACGTTATTTTCCGTCATTATACAATTAGACCATTTGTTTCGAGTATTTTTTGTTTCTTGTTATTACTAACGAGAATTTGATATATGAAAGTTTATTAGTTTCCCTGTAATATTATGTTTTTTTTTTCTTTTTTTGTTTCACTGCTGTAATTTTTGTACTCCAAGTATGCTGCATTTCCTCAAATATTTATACAGATCTCTGTAAAAAGATGGCACACGTATGCTGTTATTGTTAAATTCTTAAAGACAGATTTAAAATTTCACAAATTTGATAAATGATATGATTAATAATATCTAAATGAAAAATGGAATTTTATTATGTGTCTGTTGACTTTTATATTTATACAAGTAGAACATGCAAAATGAAATCGACGAATTAATAGTACTACATCTGAGTTTTCATTCAGATTGTTCGAAATCATTCTATGTTTCAAGTCGTAAAATTCGTACAACCAAGACGAAAAGCTCAAGCTATTTTTGAGTTGAGAAATTGAAAACTTATCTACTTTGAAAACTTCGAAGTTTATGTGGACTTTAAAAATTGTGAAAGAGATTATATTGTTTATCTGGAGATATTTCAATCATGAAATAACTAGTAACTTTGGAGAACATTTAGAAACGTCTTACTTGTGCAAATCATAAAGAGAATAATTGATTTGAAAATATCAATAAGATTGTACTCGCCGACTATTTCATTTTTTTAGCAAACGAAAGATCGAAGAAGCTGATAAAAAATATTACATTACTTTTTTCAACTGGTTAGAAAATAAACATTTCATTTTTGGAACTATCATTTCGTCTCAAGTTCGACTTTGCAATAAAATATTATCGCGAAGTAAGTTTCGTATTTGTCAAGTTTGAATAATTCTGAATCAACCCTTAAGAATTTAATGATAGCAAGTGTACGCTCATGTTGTAATTTTCAATTATCCTTACTCTCATATTTTGCTAGTGAAACTTTATACAAAAATTAATGGAAATATAACTATAATTTATTTGCAGTGTTATCTATCAATTGATGCAACTTTTTCTGCCAACTGTGTCTTAATTCAGCAATCACTGTCTTATTTCCAGATTCTGGGAATCTGTTTTGCTCAGAATCTTCGAGTAGACATATTCGCACAAAAGGCAAAGTGGCATTGACAATTCCGGGCCCCCACGGCGGTCTAGCATCTTATACTCACAGATGCTGATCAGTTGCGTTGATCGAACTGGAAGACTCGTCGAAGATCTCGAGAGACAGCAGACCTTTGACGTGAAAATCGACACAATTCCACGGGTGGAAAGTGCAGGGATCAAGATCAGGATATCCGAACAAAATCGACAAGATGCAGATAGCGCTTTCGTTCCTGGATTTATTATGGTGATATTACGAACAATTGCGTGTGTTTTTTTTTTTTTTTTTTTTTTTTTTTTTTACTAACCATGCGATCTCGTTCTAATCGCTCACGCGATCGCTTATGAATTTCCGTGACGACTTTCACGAGATTTTATCATTCCACGAATTGACAAGCGTCGATCGTTAACCAATTAATTACTCATGAACGCTCGATAAAATCGTCCCGAAGTTTCATTAATAATTATTGTTATCAAGTGCGCAACTTGTTGCACGCACTTCGCTACCATATTACATAAAATGGCACGAAATGGAATTTAAACTTCCATCGCAGCCTCGATAAATTTTATCACAACACACACACACACACACAGTTGTTAATCAATAACTTCCTACTAACTGAGGGAACAATCGAGCTGATTGAATTCGAAACTTCGATTCTAAGTACGTTCGACTATCACGACCACACTGTGTTTTAATTAATTTACGTATTAATATATAATATACTTTACGATTGAAAAAAAAAAAAAAAAAAAAAAAAAAAACGACAAGAAACGCGCTGTGTTTAAATATAATATAAGGTTAATTTTATTATTTCTCTGTGTTACAAAATCGCCGTGTTGCGAAAGAAAGAGGGGGGAAATGACTTTGAAAACATTGCCTCGAAGAAAAGACAGATCGATCCTACGAATTCGAATTGTGCATCGATCTGTCTTTCGTCGATTGCACAAAATCGGCGCAGGACGTGGAGTATTTATTTTGCGGCGAGAGGAGTATCAAGCGTCTTCGTCAACATTTTGATGCTCGGTTTACGCTTGTCACGTTGCAATTCGAGTTAGATCTAGTACTCAAAGTACGAGTTCGATTCTTT